AAGGTGTATCTGTAATACATTGCTAGGATATATGTCTGATATTTTGCTGCCTGTGGATTTTTTAAAGATTTTTATGCTTTCCCGTCTTAGGTTTACGGACTTTATCTATATTTAATTTATTTTATGTATGGAGTAAGTTGGCGGTCTAGTTTCATTTTTTTGCATGTATCTATCCAATTTTCCCAACACCATTTACTGAAGAGATTATCTTAACTTCATTGTACGCTCTCGCCTCCTTTGTCAAATATTGAGCTAAATGTCTTGGGTGGTTTTCTGGATTCCTTCCGCTCTGTTGCATTGTTCTATATGTCTGTTTATGTGCCAGTACCAGGCATTTTTGCAATATACCTTGGTATCTGGTATTGTCATTCCTCCAACTTTGTTTTTTTTTCAAGATTGCTATGGCCGTAACCGGTTTGGCTCAGTGGATAGAGCGTTGGCCTTCGCACTGAAGGGTCCCAGGTTCAGTTCTGGTCAAGGGCATGTACCTTGGTTGTGGGCACATCCCAGTAAGGGGTGTTCAGGAAGCAGCTGGTCGATGTTTCTCTCTCATTGATGTTTCTAGCTCTCTATCCCTCTTTCTTCCTCCCTGTAAAAAAATCAATAAAATATATATTTTTTAAAATTGCTATGGCTATTTTATTATTATTATTCCATATTTATTTTTGGAGAGCTTATTATAGGTCTGTGAAATATGCAGTTGATATCTTTTTTTTTAATTGAAATATTGTTTACTTATTTTTTTAATTCTTCATTAGTTAAGGTATTACAAATGTGTCCTCATTTCCCTCATTAAATCCCCATCCTCCTCCCCACCGCTCATTCTCTCATCTCCCTGTTGTCCATGTCCATTGGTTTGGCTTATATGCATGCATACAAGTCCTTTGGTTGATCTCTTCCCCGTACCCTTTCCCTCTCGGGATTAATAGTCTGATCGCTGTTTCTCTGTCTTTGGATCTGTCCCTGTTCATCAGTCTATCTTGTTCTCTATTCCACAAATGTGATCTTTTAACAAGAAAGAAATACTGTTGCATATTTATGCTCAAGTAGTTTTCTATCCATTTAGGCATGTTTAATATTTTGTCTTTTAATTTTAAATTTTGAAAACTTAGCTTAC